TATTTACACTATTTATAATAGTTCTATTGTCCTCATATTTGTTGTTTTTATCACAACCTTTCGGTCGTTGGGCACTACGGATTTCAAGTAAGTTTTTACAACAGTGTCTGCAACCAAAGATTCATTTCCATCATTCTATGAGTGTAGCATATTTGATAGTTATAAGCTTGAACTGAACCCTTTACTTTAAACGTAGAAACTGAATTTTGCTTTTCATTGATATCTGCAGAATTGTGATGTCAGGAGATATATATATTATTATTATTATTATTATATATATATATAAAATATTTGATTGAATTGATGTGATTTTGTGACTCTGGGTTTCACGCTTTTGCGATCGTCAGACAAACTGATTAATTTTTTTAAAATTTGGGTTTATGTAGATTGCGTGTATTGGTGTTATTATGAGAGTGGGGGAATCGTCGTCGTGATGTCATCGTGCTAACGCAAACATAGATGCATGTCCGTACACCCGATGAGGTACGCATACACATATACACACTTGCTCGTCCGTCGGGACTCATACATATATAAACATATGTGGACAGTTTGGGATTTGACATATGTATGTATATGGGTGGTGTTGTGTCTATACATACGCATTTGTATATTGAAATTCAAAGATTGGAAGTGTAGCGAAAATTTTCCGTGAATGTCTCGTGAATGTATACACGTCAGCAATCAGAGCATTTTTCTATTTTTTTCGCTGAATAATAATCCCTCGCATGTACGTATATACGTGTGGTGGGATTCTGTATAAAATTATGATAGGTAAAAATTACTAACATTTTTATTTTTAATGTTTAAAAAAGCTTTATTTGTTATTATTTTAAAGCTGGTTATTTGCTTGTTTTTGATGACTGTATATGTAACTGGTAGAAATTCCAGTTTTTAATCCTTATTGGTTATTTTTTATGGTGGTATTAAAAATACTGGGGGAGGGGGTAGTTTACGTTAATAATTATAGCGGGTTTATATGATAATAGTAGATGTAATGTGATAGTAATGTTGTAAGGATTGGAGACAATGATAATATAAGTAGCCAATAGTTATTGTAAATTGGTAGTAGTGATTAGTAATGGTGGTGGTGTATATAATATATATACAATATATATATATATATATTATATATATATATATATATATATATATATATATATATATAATATATATATATATATATATATATATATATATATATATATATATATATATATATATATATATATATATATATATATATATATATATATATATATATATATATATATATATATATATATATATATATATATATATATATATAATATATATATATATATATATATATATATATCTCTCAGACACTGCGCATCCAGGATTCGAATCTCTGTTCAGACTCGACGCTCCTTAACTCCGGTTAATATATTTTTTCACCTTAAGAAAGGCAACCAATCCACTAACACGCAGAAAGGTGCTACTTAGTGTGAAAAATATAAAACGTTATTAAGGAGTGAAAACAATGAAAGGACAGAAATTAAGATAGAAGATAACAATTGAGATTGCATTTAAATTTTTGAAGATCAAATTTAACTGGAAACCAAGTAGCAAGATGAATGTTCCATAAGCGAGAAAAGAAACCGTTAGCGTAGATCATAGTTATTGTTAACCACTTCAACTGTAAAATGATGAACTTCCTACCACTGAAATTCTCACTGTATAATGTTAATTATATTATAAATTGAGAAATACTATGACAGCGAAGGAGATTAATGTATAAACAATGTTAGCTGTAAAAAAAAAAGTAAATGTTTTTAATTACGATATGTGCGTGTATGTATTAAGCAGAACATAGTGTATCTTTTGGTGAGTTTCTGCTGTTGAATTAATCATTTTCTTTCAATTGAAAACTTCCAAAAAACTTGCCGAAATGAGATATGAAAATGCGCGTACTATCTAAAATAGCCATGATGTTGTTTGTATCGATAACAGTTTAGTTTCAAATGAATGTGATTTCACAGGTTATGAAAACGCAATACTCTTTAGTGTTATGTTTAAAATATGACATGGAAGTTTAAAGGCGTTTTAATTTGATCACCTCGACTGAAGCTTTAAAAAAGAACAAGCAGCTATTATTAAAATTAATAATAGCTGCTTGTTCTTTTTTAATGTAAAGGATATCCAACATTTGCTTTTCCAGTTTCAATAGCAGAAGAATTGTTTATATATTAACCCAAATTGGAAAAGGTGTCATGATTTTTTTTTTTTTTTTTTGAGCATTACATTTATTCAACCCTATATGTCTGACGTATTTACATGTTATAACTTATATATTTGAAAGCCATTTTTATTCTAAACAGCGATACAATTCATTACGCGTTTATTAGTCTATACAACCACCTTCTCAGGTCGATGGTTAAAAATGACTTCGAGCGAGTGAAGCATTTAAGTTTCAGCAAGGACTACTTTTTCGAAGCACGTGAACTGGTTCTACATAATCACAATTAAGGAACTGCACCAGAAAACAGATCACATCACATCACCTGAGGACATCCAGCTGCAGCAACAACTAGAATATATAGCACATGCAATCCGAAAAGAGAATGACATAATCAAGATATTGACATTACACATGAAACAATAATTTCAAGACGAGAAAGAGCACTCACGATTGTTGAACTTGAGAAACTTATTTTCCTGGAATAAACTGTTTGAAGAGAAAGATTTTTTTAAAATAAATTTCCGCTATACGTAGCACTCGAATGTTTTATAAGAAAACTGATAATATTACCATTGTCTGTCGGAGTTGGAGGTCTATGAATTATTATATTTTTATTTTATTACCGTGATTAACTGTCTGTAAAAATAATCTAATTTGTTCATCAACGATGTGATGAGAAAACCTGTTATTACTAAGTGTTTGATTAATATTACATAATTCTTTATTGACAATTCTTTTAGAAGAGGAGATTAATTTAGCATGGTTAATAAGGTTTTTATGGCTATCTTGTATTGATTAAAGCATCATCATTGCTCAGGACACCAAGAAATGGGATCTTTATTAGTTCAAATGTAAAACTAAGTATAAGATTATTTTCAAAAGTTTCCATATATTTATTCTGCATATGGTCAAGGCCTTTTTCTAGGAGAAATATGTCGCTGACGTACCAGGTATAATATATATATATATATATATATATATATATATATATATATAATGAAGAAAAATATACGGAAAAAACAAACAAAAATCCTAATATGCAATTATGCTGTTTTAATGTTAATATGTCAACGTCGGATGTTTCGGTCAAGTAGCCCATCTTCAGGGCATATTCATAAAACATAATTAACATTAGACTATATTTAATTCAACATGAAAAGACGATGGACATAAGAGTAAGATTGATCAAAACAGATAACTGAAATTTTTCAAGATCAGCGTTCCGTTTTACAGTATGATCACGTGGGCGATGTTGTGAAAACGTATTCCTAAAATAGAGTATTTTGAATGAAAAATGAAAAGAATTTTATTTTAATCTAAAACTTATATGTACGTTTGTTGAGCATTAATTTTGCTAGAAAAGGGGAAATATTAAAGAAGCCAGGTCTAGTGTTCACCGTGCGTGAGATAGATATTATGCCTACCTTATAAATCCGCGTAAGATTTTTATTATGAATATATTTTAAAATCTTCACAGAATCAAAATCGAAATTATGTTCAGATTTAGCTGTGTGTACAACTAAAACATTGTTTAAATTTTTCTTCATACTGTCGGATCTATATCCATATATTTGCTTACATACATACATATATATATATATATATATATATATATATATATATATATAAAGTTTGTCTGTTCGACTGGATTTTTTTACCATAATTTGAGATGGAAGAAACTGTCGTCAGTTTGTGTGTAAATATTTTCAGTTTTGTAAAAAAGGTATATGCTTGCAGGGATTTTATTAAAATATTAGGTTTGATTTTAAGAGTGGTAAAGAGTAATGGTTATAAATATCAGATAATAATTTCAATATATATATATATATATATATATATATATATATATATATCATTAAGTTTTGATGATATATATATATATATATATTAAGTTTTGATATATATATATATATATATATATATATATATATATATATATCATTAAGTTTTGATGATATATATATATATATATATATCATTAAGTTTTTGATGGCAAATGAAGAAAGACTTTTCTGATCGGCAGCCGAAACGTTATCATAACAGTTCAAATTTGCTTTGTTTAGATTTTTTTTTACTTCATTTTTTTTTTCTTTTTTTATTCTTAGATTTTTCAGTATCATTTTTCGAAATATTAACTTATTTATTTTGCTAAGGTCTGTAGTCGGGGTGACGTACTGATAAAAATTTCTGTAAATATTCATTCCGTTTAAATCATCGCCGAAGGCAATTTTTTAAATTATTTATTTTACCACTCCGCGCAAGAAATTGTAAATCTGGGTTAAATTGTAATTTTTTATTGATTGATTTTTTTCTATAGCTTATCAACATTTTGTATACTATTTAAAGCCCGAAAATATTTTTAGATTTTAAAACCTTTTTCGGGGATAATGATTTCGTGATACCAGTCTTACTAATTAACCCGTAGCTGAGGGAAAAGTAGAGATGATTTATACCTTTCTGTTGTAGAGTAGTTTTTACAGTGGAGGCTTGTATTTCAATAAGTTGTCCTAAATTAGGTTCGACGTACAAAACGTTAGGAACTTGAAATAAGAGTTAATGACGCAGCAATCTAGTTGTGATGGTTGGTACTTCAATGTACGATATCGACTGACTCGCTCAACACCACTGAGCCCAACTGGCCTCTGCTACTACTACTTATCTGTGGGAGAGTCCATTACAATAGAATAGGTATTATGGTATAACACTTTCCCAAAAGGTAACTCAACAGAAATTGAAACTCGGCTCACCGATTAACAATTCCGAGTTGTTACCCATTACACCACTCGCACATCCAAACTTACAACACTTGGTATTTCCAAGCGGTCACCCCATCTAGATACTGATCAGGCTGGACGTTGCTTAACATCGGTGATCGTACGGAAACCGGTGTTTCAACGTGATATGGCCGTAAGCCTTGAGTTTAATTAGAATTCTAGTAAGAAATTATGATTATTTTTATGATTGTGGCATAAAACCTCAAAATAAATGCAGTGTTCTTCTTAAAGGTACAATGAAGAATATTTAAGTCTGGAAATGCAACTCATTCAGTTAATGACGAAGCAGAAAATCTTCAACTTTCCCTAATTTTCAGTGTCACGGTATATTTTTTCTCTTTATAAAAATAACTATTTCACCAGTTGGTTAATAACAATTTTATTGTGAAAACCATTGATTTGCCTGATAAAATCTGATTTCGTGTCGTTATGCCCATATAATCAACTACTCGTATAAAATGGATTTATTTGTTTGAATTTCTAGTATGGGATGTTTCCATTATTTAAATTCAGACTAATATCCACATATTTGCTGTTGGCATCACAATGTTTTGGACGTTGTACTCTCCGGCCTTCTTCATGTTTCATTTCGAATTTCCACGAATTGACAGACTCCTGAAGAAGACGCAGCAGCCGAAACGTTGTGATAACAAATATCAGGTCATTAATTCAAATGTAAATAAACTTAAGATACACACACATTTTATATATAATAACTGGCCACTCGTATTCGAGGATACATGTCAACTAGGGCGTCTAGCCAATCGCTATTGCAGACGCTCGCTTAGGCACATTTGCACTTACTGAAAACCCACAGAGACCACCTTTGGTTTATACTGCAGCTATGCTGAGCAGACCTTAGTTACAGTTTCTGGGAAAGAGCGTGTTATCTAGCGTGATCAACAGTTTGAACAAGGCCAGCACGATCAAGCCCTCGGCCACGTTGACTTTTTGACTTTGTGGTCGCACAGCTATCGATGACCCTCTAGAATTCCGTCTCTCCAATTTCACTCACACGGCTTACGTCAATCCGTGTAATGGTTTTCGGGCACTTCCCAAAGGTGTCGCAAGCTGTGATCGACATCGATCCATTCCGATAAGATCAGGAAGTCTCCTTCCTGACAAATCGACCATAGTGAGATTCGAAATACACACGAGAGATATTTGTTCGATTAACCCAACTTTGGTACAAAGTATATTCCTAACGCTTCTGGTATATGTGAAATACAAAAGACTTTGCTTTCTGTTTTTTCTTCTTCTTCTGTTATACTAAATTCTTTAAGAATTTTAAAGGCACTTTTGAATTTGCTTTTATGCTTAAATCATCATCAAATTGATTCTGTGCAGGTTACCAAGCAGACAGACAAAATATCTACAGCACACGCCGACTCCATCTGACACCAACAGATATAATTAAGAGCCAAAGTTAAACATCTGTGAAAAGAAAAGCAAGTGGAGAGAGATAGGACGGGTGAACGCAAATGCTGCCCCCATCAAACAGATAATGGTTCAAGCAGTTCAGCTCTAGAAATGCGTACATATACATACTTATAGAAACGGATAAAGACCGGAGTACATTGATGACTGTGCTATTTGGCTACTGCAGATTTTACAAGTCAAAGAATCTACTAACAAGTCGAGTTGAGTTTGGATTCGGTGTAAATGTCTCTCCAAATCGGGCATTTGGTATTTTATCTTAAGTTGATTGTTCTTTATAATGGAAGAGAACCCTTTGCGGAATATGTCTTAGTCAGCGACGTGTGATCAAATGTACTGATTAAGAATAAGCCACAGCTTGAGCACTTACCGTCGCATGGTAGCTAGTAAGACTTACAGGCCAAAGTAGTGAGTTCAATTCGCACTACGTACTCTACTACTGTGGCCTTGTACCCAACTAATGGGCATATAGCGTTGATTAAGCTAGTCTCGCAAATCATTACTGCTGTAGTGAGTTCGATTCTTAGTGGGTGTCTTACACACGTGGCTTAGCGCAGTTTTAAGCTTAGTGAATTGTTTTTTGCATACAGAATCGTGTAATAGTTAACAATCAGGTCGTTCAACTTAATACAAAAAGTCAGTACCATCCTCACTGGATGTTCTACTAGCATGGCCTTGTGCCATACTAATCTACAAGGAAATGCGTTCAATTGTCTGCTTTATGGTTCAGATATTTGTGTATTCCCGCTGTCGACAGTAATCGTTATTCGAGTTCAAAGAAATAAAGATTTCGTATATTGAGTTTCAAAAGGTAGTCATGTCTCACCGTACTTGCAATATAGTTTTTTTTTACGCTACCGTTCATCCAGTTTACGATCTAAAAGTCAATCGAGGCAGATAATTACTGAATGGAATTCTTTATGAATTAAAGATTATTCGGATATGCAAGATAGATGACGGATGATTCTAAACTTGAAGAGGTTAGGATTTTAATGGTCGGGGAAGCATAATTTCGGGAGTCTGTTCTACAAAACAGAGGCACTCGGGGGAGGGAGATGTCCTAATAGAATTTCCTTCTTGCCAATAGAATATGAAGGGAATGAGGACTTTCGCCTCCACCGTGTTTATGGCAAATCAGATGTAATGAAATCGACCATTATGAGTTTAAGTAATATTCATAGCTTACTTTGTAGTTGGGATATTTGTGTATATTCCACTGATGACATTGATCAGTTATCAAGCCCAGCCAAAAAAATACAGATTTACAAGAGAGGCAGACCCAACCGCTTAGATAAGAGCGGATATCACGATAAGACTTCCCGAAACAAAATGAATATATCACAGGCTGAGTGATTAGTCATTATTTTCGATTCGCACTGTTTATAAATGACTATAATATGACGGCTTGAGTAGTTTCTAAAAATTTAACTGATATTAAGATGAAAGAAGTAAAAATTAACAATAGCAAACATTTTTCATTCATGTTTGCATTGTATAGTAATAATATAATGGCTGGTTTCAAACCTGTGCCTCTCTGTCGTTAGATTCCGCGTGACTTTAGAGACTCCGTCACGGAGCAGTCTAGCCGATCAAGCAAACTTTGAATCCTGCCTTTAACCAAAATCCTTCTCATTAAATCCTGTCGGAGAGCGCTTTTTTTTTTTCATAAGATTTCTCAAATATTCAGACCGTTAGATAGAAATTAAATATACAGTTTAATAAATAAACGAAGTGTCTACTCAAATATGGGTATCCACTAAAAATAACGTTTAAAGGTATATAAATCTCTCGGATTGACATTACTTTTGAAAATTACTTTCTTTACGTTTATATACGAAACTGAGCAGATATGATAATGTCGAGGAATTTATGACGGGAAGGATTTCGCTTAAAGGAACTATTCAAAATTTGCCTGATCGGTAAGGCTGCTCCATGGCCGAATAGGTTAAGGCACGTCAGATCTAACTACGTTTTCCCTCTGTCGGAGAGTTCATATTTTTCTTCAATTTCTCGAATATTCAGGCGCATAGTTGAAAATAAATATATTGTTTAATAAATAAATGGAGCGTCTACTAACAATAACGTTTAAAGTGATAAAAATCTAACACTGTTACAGTTACATGTTCAGGTACGTCTTTTTTTCAGTCACAACAGAACCAACTTGTGGTTTATACTGAAATAATACTGAGCGTGCCTCGGGTATAGTTTCTGGAAGAAAAGCTCCTAATTTGACGTGTTTAGCAGCTGAATAAGGTCAGTATGCAAAAATCATCGATGACTTGTAACTACAGGCCAGTACAACGATCAACAACTTCTGAAGAGTTTCGTCTACTTAATTTCATTCACAAAGTCTTGAATCAACTCGTTGCAAAGTTTTCAGGTCTCCACAAGCCGATATTATCAAAAAATATTACTTCCTTGACACATCGAAAACTGTGAGATTCGTATCAAAGCCTCAAGTTGGGAACACTAACGTTTTAACCATTCAGTCATAATAAAAGTAAATACTATTTCCACTTGCAACAGATTGTACAACTTGCATGACTCAATTACTGTGCGTTTTAACGTGCTGGCGCATCTCCACGTGTGGACCAGTCTGCTGGGGACGACTTTTTTTTTTTTATCGAGCCACCATCTTTAGACTGGTTGAGAGGCCTGTCTATTCTGCTAATTAACCCAAGGATGTATTCATACCTTTCCCAAGGTAATTCGAACTCCGCCCGCCGATTCCCTTTTCCGTACCACAAAATAAAATAAATTTGATACATTAATATACTAATGATCTGGCAGCCTCGTCAACAGGAATTGCATTGATATCCTATATTTTCAATGGAATAGAAAAAAAAGCCTTGCTTTAATAGGACGCTTCGATCGATCGATACCCTCTTCGGACGTAGAAAAACATTTTACTTTTCACTCAACATGTGTATCGGTAACGTGAATTTATATATAACCGATATGAAAACTTGCGAGCAAAAAGGAGATATTTAGCATGTGATTTACACCTAGAAATACGAGATGATAGAATAGAATTTAATGTCCATCAGGAACCTTGTTCTAAAAAGAGTTTATATGCACTGGGGTAAGGTTTAAGAGGTAACCTCAAAGCAGGCAAGTGGAGAATCGGGCCACGAATTATGCACCAACATAAACAAGAAAGTGATCTCAACTCCGAGGTGGGGTGGGGGTCACACACACAAACACACGCAGCCGTATAACAGGAATTTATATAAACGTTGACCTGTGAAGAAAAAGAATGCCACGCAAGACTGAAGGTTCAAATAAAAACCTGACAATGTATAACCTTGATTTCTCTTATTATGAGACGTTACTATTATTATTGATATAATATTTATTCAGGAGATTAAATCATACTTAATGTAAAATATCTCTGTTTTATTAACAATGGAAATCTATAGGAAAATGATTTTTTCGTGAATATGGCTGAGTTAGGAGTCTCAAAAATACTTAAATCGAGCTATTTCGTTTTTACCAATAATGTCAAGCTCCACATATGACAATACACTTTTTTGTGTGTGTTTCACCCCAGGCAAGGCGGGAAGCCACTAGGACGCAAGGGGTTAAAGAAGATTTGGAGCAAGATCAAATAGGAGTAATAGAGGAAAGGATGAGAAGAAGGATAGCGGATAGATTAAGGCAACTGGAAATGTCGATTGACATTACATTTGAATAGTTGGAG